TTCTGCGAAGTTCTTCTTAGATATCCGCTCTCTGTCCTTACTTCGTATTTACAAAGAAAATTTGCTTCCTGGTTAAAAATATACTGTCAGTATTTGAGGCCGACATTGTACAAGGCGGAAATTCTCAGCGCAGAATGGGAGGGCCTTCAAGTATAAAGTTCCTAGCTTAGGATTTTTTGTGAATGTTGAGACACTCAAACTGGGTACATTTTGCGCGCTATAGGAATGAGCGATATAATAGCAATGAGAGTTCTAGTTCTATATAATACTACCATTTTTTACCCTAATACGGACACGAGACTGGGGGACTCAAATCGCGAAGAATACGAAACGTTCTCGAAAAAAATTAATGGGCAAAATGTGAAAAAGGAACACGAACACTCCCCCCAAAACACCCACCAAAAAAAAGACCAAAAAAGACAATAGAAAAAAGACCAGAACCCCCAGTGTACAGTATACGTCCTCTAATGGATGTGTGAATTGCATTTTACTAGATCTTCTGTTCATGCGCTTCCACTGAAAGACACATCAGTAAAGTTTGCACTAATCGGTCTTTGATAGCTTGCTGCCGCATTGTGAAATAACTTTGAAGTGCAGCGAAGAGATTCAATAAGTCAGGTCGTGGAAATGAGTGTGTTTCCGTATTTACAGTGGTAGTTAAAAACGTGAATATCCAGACTCTTTCCCGAAACAATTTCGTTTGTGTCCCAGAAGTCAAAAGCAGCACAACACACTGAGGGCGGTCCTAACTTGATGATCAATACGAGACCATTCATCTGGCTCATTTGCCTCTCCTCTGTTCTCATTGTTTCCAATTCTCGGGTTGACCTACAATTTTAGCAAGGTTAGATTAAATTTACCATGAAAACATTGGATTGTACTTGTAAGCTAAGCTATTATAGAACCTTGCTGACGTCATAGTAAAACGGTCTATTTAGATAGCCGTAATGTCCCTTCCAGGGCTCATCACTCATTCAGAAGATGTAAGTTTAAGTTCATTCGCCAATCGGCGTTACAAAATTTAAAGTTTTTCAATGGTGGCGTCTAAAAAATTTTTTTAAACAACGGAACTTTTGGGTTGAGGAAAATAATTTTCTTCCCCACTAAAGAAAGAAAAGAAAATAAGAAGAAACAGTAACTTTTGAGTGGTGGAAAATAACTTTCTTCCCCACAAAAGAAAAAAAGAAATTAATTGTAAGTAAGTCTGAGCTGACTTGGTACGTCTTTCTAGCATATCATAATAATATTGTCAACTGCACGACTGTGAGTCCAAGGAACAGAAGTCTGCACTTCTTTTTTTTTTAAGTTATATAATTTGTTGACCTGTGACGGTATAGCGCCATGTACGCGGGGACACCAAGCATGATTTGAAAACCATTGTTCTGGTGACGTCATATTCGCCAGCCAATGTGAGGGAGCATGGTGGAATCAGGCTCTCGTCAATTGTTGGGCATGTAGAGCTATTGGGATCATCTTAAAGCTTTTTCATTCGTCTTTATTTGGATGAAGAAAATATCCATTTATCTTGAATACAAGTCGAGATATTTGCGATAGAAAGAGGTGGGGGTCCCCTGTTTTCAGATGTAAAACTAGTGAAAAAATGGCCGCCAAAGATTAGTTATTTCCTTAGCTTAAGAGTCCGTGGTAACTGAAAAAGTACATCTTGTGTGTCTTTAATCGACGTTTTTCAGAAAAATTAAAACAGAAATGAGTCCTTTAATGGGCATGAAAGGTGTTGGGCCAAAAAACAAAAATTCGAAAAAAATTCACAAACCTGCGGAAAAATGAAAGTTTCTTCACTTTGATTATTTTGACGAGAGCCTGATTCCACCACTTTAGTTATAGAATTCTTTGGCCTGTGACGGTATAGCGCCATGTACGAACATGAAGCATGATTTAAAAACCATTGTTCTGGTGACGTCAAATTCCCCTGCCAGTATGCACATAAAAGGGTTTTCTGTCCACTGTTTTCTAGTTATGTTTTGAATGAGAGCAGTCCAAGTTACACATGTGTGAGTGGTTTCTACAATAAGTGGTACTTCGAAAACAAAGGTTATTGTGCCACGGAGGAATGCCGGAAAAGCTGCAGATTATTGGCACCATACTCTTTGACTTTAGTTACAGTGTCTCATTTGGAGTATATCAAGGGAGCAAGGATTAAAATTTGAAGGGAGGAAAGTAGAACTTAAGCTACAAAACAAAAATACTTCTACAATGTATGTTAAGACAGATAAGATAGATAAGATAAGATAAAATAAGATAAGATACATCTTTATTGTCCAGATTCTGGCACATTGGCATGGTGTTTCACCACGTTTACACACACA